CTTGCAGATTCGTGCATTCACCTCATCTGTCACACTACGATCAGAACTAATACAACTTCCAAGATACGTAAAACGCTCCACAACCTCCAGTATCTCTCCCTGGATTGTAAGTGGCGTGTTCAGTGACTGCACGTCCACAAGCTGGCGATCAAGTACTTGAGTTATCTACCTTAACCTGGAAAATTTATTACCCTACATTGCAGCAGTTTGTATGTCCTGATTTGCGAGCACTGGTGAACAGAGGGACTAGTGAACCTGCAAGTTTTCTCTAACCAGGAGAGGTGTATAAGAGCAATTACAATAACAAGAACATAGAAGTACGTCCTTAACGTTTACAAGAAAAGCGTTCAGCTGTAGCGCTCTTTCAGTGCCACACGAAGGAGGCACGAGGGTTGGGATACGGCCAGGTCGCCCAAGCCTACACAGGAGAAGTCGAGAGGCAGACCATCCGATCGGTAAATTCGCGCTCTAACCACTTGGTCCAACTCGATCCCATCACGCTGGCGTCACCGTGACTCACGCAAGTGATCGGGAGTAGAGACTAAAACCGTTTGATCATCGAAGACTTACTGGCGGTACACTCGTGACAGCATTCGAGTTCGCCAAATTTTCGAAGCACATGGCGGAGTAGACCGCTTTACTGACTCCACACAGTTGAACAGAATGTGCGACCAGCTCACTCGACCTTCGTAGTGAGCTGGCTCCCTTCCGTTCGAAGATATCTGAGTGCTCGTTCTTGAAGTACCATGTTTTCACCTAATGTACCCGTGATTTCACCATCGCAGGCTTGACCAGTATGGCAACAAATAGGTCTTGTCGCTCACAACTGACATGCTGCGACGGTGGACTCATAAGCGCTTTTAGGCATCCTCAAGGCCTAATAACATTAGCAGTCTCCGGCACGAACATTTAACCAGCACACTACCGAGGTCCGCAAAAAGTGTACGTCGCGGTTTCGAATGTTAACACGATGGGACGAAAGGTCTGTACGGCTCAGTAACTAGTATCGGCGCAGTAATCTACTCAATAACTCATAAGAAATAGAAGAAACTGATATACCTAATGAGGTTGTCCAAATTGTTATGGGTTGGGTAGAAAACTAATTCCCCACCGAACGGGGAGCGCTGTTCCTTGACCCAGCTCGGTGTCTACTTTCGGTCCAGGGGCCCTCATAAAAATGCAAACCCAGGACCATTTCACATGGACTAGTGGGAAACATACCGTGTGGTTAAATCCACTCCAGGACCTAACGTGTCAGTGATTCCGTGATCAGTTGTACCCTACTGGATCACCGCTACACCAATGGAAACCCAGCATTATTATGCCTTGCGGAGCTAGTCGGGATGTGACCCACTCAAAAGTCCAACGGATCTATCGGGTGACTCTGATTCATTGACCATTGGTCACTAAAAAACCGTTCAGCTGTAGCACCCTTTCGTTGCCTAGCTGCCGCGTCACACGAAGAAGGAGCGAGGGCTGAGATACTGCCAGGCTGCCCAAGCTTAGACAGGGGAAGTCGAGATGCAGAGGTTGGGTTCGAACCACGGACCTTCCAATCAGTAAGTTCACGCTCCAACCACAGAGGCCGTGTTGATCTAACGAGAAAATTACAACAAACCTACACCCATTATGTCCGGAGTAAAATGAATGATATGGGTAAGAATCTAGCCCGAAAATTCCGGGTGGCGAATGTGCGGCACCCAAATCCATTGCACATTTCTGCAAATAATCACTTCTACATGTAGCAACCTATCACTGCTCTGTTGTAGCGTGGTCAGGAAAGTGACTGCGGTCAGAGAAACAAGAAGACAAAAATAAACACGAGCACAGAAGCATCAGAACAGCGACAGTGAAACTCTCCAACTATCATATCACTAGCATGCACACAAGCACCGCTAAAGATAAATAAAACCCTGCCTCCAAGCCACTAGTGGGCCGAGATTTCCGGTACACATGTAAAACATCAGCCGACTCCAACGGTAAACACCCCCGCGCACTATGTGGCCAGTGCCCGCATGTATGCTTGTTTTCAACCTGGGTCAACTCGCACCCATTCACAAAATGTTGACACAGCAATCATCGTCTTGCTTTTCTCAGCCCCTGCCCTCGGTTCATCAATGCATCAGACACGTACGTCTAATATGTATTCACTGGGTATCGTGGATATCCTTTGTGTTCAAGTTGTCGCTTCGTATTAACCATGCCTTCGCCTTCATTTCCACCTTATGTACGTCTGTTCCTGGACAAGCAAAGCGCTATTTAGTCTTGTTCTCGCGCTCAATCAGGAGCGATACTCTATCCGCAAAAATTTGTGTAAGGATACGATGGAACCGTTGCTGCGACCCAAGTGTTTCGACGCAGATCCAAATCATCCAGACAACACAACGCATTAGAATCATTGATTCGAAACTTTCCAAACATTTCTGGGCCCAATCTAAACAAACTGGCAACCTTAATCCATTTTGCGGATGTACCTGTATACGTTTACACCGCTGACTGTCCGAACTACAAATCTGCTATCAGTATATGGTGTAACAGTGAAGCATCGGTGTTGAACATTGATGTCATGCTGTCGATGATGATGACACTTGAAAAATGTACATTCGTCCTAAGAACACTAATTTATGCAAGCAAGATACTAGTCAAGCTGTTGATCAGTTCGTTCAGAGGCTTAAATCCTCGACCAAAACCTGTGATCAGTATCCGCCACCAAAACGAAAGTGTTAACAATGCTCCGACCAACGGACGTCAGTCTGCTACCATCAGGGAAAGACTTCTGGATTGAAATGAACTCACTCTCGATGAAGCACATGAATTGGCTAGGTTATTAGAATTGGCTCACAAACAAGCTCAGTCATAATCGCACAACCAGCCAATATCATTTTCCGAGGCTGCAGCACCTTTACAGACATATGCGGTCACTCGTTTACTCTCAAGCTCCCCTGATTCCACACCTTATCTCTCGTCAATCGATTCTCAGCTGTTATTTTTGCGGTCGTTCCAGGCATCCACGATCCAAACGCCCCACAAGAGAAGCAGTTTATAAATCACTTGGCAAAACAGGCCATCTTCAGAATGTTTGCCGATCCAAATCAGTCCAAAATCACTCAAACTGCACGACAGACTCTGCTTTATATTCCCTGTTGACTGCTGCAGCCCCAAACTGCTCGTCTCGCACGGTGACCAGCATAAAGGTGAATGGAATATCGCTTTAGGTCCTCATAGACACAGGAGGTTCGGGCAGTTATTTATCTCCTTCGGTAGTCCGCACACATGGTCGGAAGATATGTGCTTACAATTATGTGATTACCATTCACCTCTCCGAAGTGTTTAGCTAGCGGCTACTGCCACGCATTCATCAATTACAGGGGTACTGTTCACAAAAACTATTGATGTTACCCAATTTATGTACTGACATGCTGCTGGACCACGACTCCCTTGGCCTACATAACAAAGCTGAAATCACATTCCATGGGAACCGAGATCCATTCACCCTCTGTGGTCAAACTGCTGCTACGGTTGAACAACCTCCTTTTTCGCTAACCTTACACTAGACTGCAAGCCTATCGTCACAAAATCACGGCGTTATGACCCTGATGATGAACTGCTCTGACATTCATCGACTACCGGATGAAGGCATAATTGAACCTTCGAATTCTCCCTGGAGGGCCCAAGTACTGGTCACGAAAAAGTCAAACCACAGAAGACGCATGGTAGTGGACTAAGTAAAACGATTAATCGGTTCACATACCTAGACGCTTATCCGTTGCAGAGACTGAATAAAATGATTGAAGAAATTCCCCGCAATGCTGTCTTTAGCACCTTAAACCTATTGAGTGTTTACCATCAAGTTCCAATCAGTGAGAAAGACATACTGTATACGGCTTTTGAAGTCTGCGGACAATTGTTTCAGTTCCGTCGTATTCCTTTCGGCGTGAGTGGCATGCTTCCAGAGTACCATTGACCATATGATCAAGTCTGAGAACTTAAGTGGCAGCTACGCTTACACCGACAACGTCACTATCTGTGGGGCTACCCAAAGTGAGCACGACCAGAATTTCAAATCTTTCTATGAAGTAATAAAAAAATATGGAATTACCCTTAACTGCAAGAAAAGCATCAGCGAAACAAATACGTCTTCTCGGCTGTGAAGTCTCTGAAGGGATTATCAAACCAGATACTGAACGGAAGAGTCCTATTCTTCAACTCCCTCATCCACATGAAGCTGGCATGTTTGCTTATCATTTACAATGGATACCACACTTCTCTGACAAAATCAGTGTCAATGTCAGAAATAAGACATTCCCCTTACCGGAGCGTGGACAACAGTCCTTGGAAATTTTTAAGGGGTTAGTGAACGCTATGGTTGTGACAGTCAACTACAATGCGCCCTTGGTTGTCGAGACGGACGCCTCACATATAGCCATTGCTGCATTTCTAACTGAGAATGGCCGATCGGTGGCCTGACACCAAGCGAAAGGGATTACTCTGCTATTGAGAAAGAGGCATACACCATCGCTGAATCTATCCGTAAGTAGAAGCATTATCTTTCCGGGAAGCACTTGAAGCTCATCATTGACCAGCAGTCGGTTTCCTTTATGAACGATATGCCGCACAACATTAGGATAAAAAACGATAAGATCCGGTGATGGAAAATGGGACTCCCCGCTTTTAGCTAAGATGACAGCTACAGACCGGGAAAAGACAATCTGGGGGCTGACGCCTTGTCTATTGAGAAGAGGCATACACCATCGCTGAATCTATCCGTAAGTAGAAGCATTATCTTTCCGGGAAGCACTTGAAGCTCATCATTGACCAGCAGTCGGTTTCCTTTATGAACGATGTGCCGCACAACATTAGGATAAAAAACGATAAGATCCGGCGATGGAAAATGGGACTCCCCGCTTTTAGCTAAGATGACAGCTACAGACCGGGAAAAGACAATCTGGGGGCTGACGCCTTGTTGCGTAACCTATGCGCCAATATGACCAGCAATGCTAAATTAATCGCGGAATTACTCGCATGCACCACTTTGTTCTTTCCAAAAACTTGTCGTTTTCCTTCCAAGATGTCAAAGACATCATCGAAAAGTGTACAGTTTGTGCCGCCATCAAACCACAATTTTACTAACCACCCACCCTAAGTTCATCAAAGCGACTCAACCATTTGAACGAATTGGAGTCGATTTTTAAGGACCGCTGCCTTCTGTTACTCGAAACCGATATATCCTTATTATCGTTGACTAGTTTTCTTGTTTTTCATTTGCCTTTCCCCGCGCAGGTACATGTGCGTCTACAGTTACCAAATGTCTGTGTAAATTACTCTTTGTTTGGTATGCTTGCATATGTAAATTCAGATCATAGCTCCTCATCCATATGCGATGAACCGTACACATTCCTACATGACAGAGGAGTTTGCACCAGCCGAACAACTGCTTGTAATCCCTATGGGAACGGGCAAGTCGAGTGCCTCAATGACACACTGGAACGCAACCCAGCTCAAATTCAAGACGGAAGACCTTCAGATCTGTCACGGAGAGTCGGTATTATCAAATGCCCTTCACTCAACACGGTCCCTTCTCTGCGTCTCCGTGAATGCCACTCCACATGAGCGAATTCCGGTCTGAACGTCGGCCATTCTGTGGTTTGTCCACACTAACTTGGCTAACTACTCGAGGGCCTGTTTTACTGGATCGATTCAACCGTGCCTGAAAGTACGAACCAGTCGTTGAGGAAGTCGAGCTTATAAATTGCAGTACATATTACGCCTATGTTCGTTTCCCCGGCACTTTATCCATGCGCCATCTCGCTCCTTGTGGTGATGGCACACGTGTCAACGAGTTCACGCATACCTCATCCAGTGGAGGTATGCTCTTCGGCTCAGCAACGTTGAAGATAATACCGATCATACTTTAGTCTCACCCCTGTGCCCGGGCGATGCACCTGCATCTCTGATTTGGCCAGTCTCCAGCAGCGTACGTGACCCTACATTTTAAGAATCCGAGAAGCCTGACCACACTTGTTATTATCCCCTATTAAATTTTTATAAGCATTTATTCAGTACCTGTGTCGGGGTCACCGCTCCTACACACAATCCAACGGCCCAGGTGGATTTCATGATTCTCCTTTGTGTTCAAATTGTCGCTTCGTATTGACCATGCATTCGCATTCATTCACCCCTTATGTACATCTACTCCTACACAAGCAAAGCGCTATTCAGTCTTGTTCTCGCGCTCAATCAGGAGCGATACTTTATCTACTGGATCGATTCAACCGTGCCTGAAAGTACGAACCAGTCGTTGAGGAAGTCGAGCTTATAAATTGCAGTACATATTACGCCTATGTTCGTTTCCCCGGCACTTTATCCATGCGCCATCTCGCTCCTTGTGGTGATGGCACACGTGTCAACGAGTTCACGCATACCTCATCCAGTGGAGGTATGCTCTTCGGCTCAGCAACGTTGAAGATAATACCGATCATACTTTAGTCTCACCCCTGTGCCCGGGCGATGCACCTGCATCTCTGATTTGGCCAGTCTCCAGCAGCGTACGTGACCCTACATTTTAAGAATCCGAGAAGCCTGACCACACTTGTTATTATCCCCTATTAAATTTTTATAAGCATTTATTCAGTACCTGTGTCGGGGTCACCGCTCCTACACACAATCCAACGGCCCAGGTGGATTTCATGATTCTCCTTTGTGTTCAAATTGTCGCTTCGTATTGACCATGCATTCGCATTCACCTTCACCTTATGTACATCTACTCCTAGACAAGCAAAGCGCTATTCAGTCTTGTTCTCGCGCTCAATCAGGAGCGATACTTTATCGGTTACACTGGGCAACTGATGTAAGCAAATAATGAGCCTACATGCTCGCCCTGCCAACCAGCAGGGGCGCAGGAGCCAGAAAGTGATATTTTTGCGTGAAGCTCGTCATGCGGTATAAATTGGAATCGAATGAGCTTGCGTGTGGTAAAATCGACTACCTTTTCCTTTTCTTTCCAGCTAATGGGGATGAAGTACCCAATATTTAATCCGCAGCATCTGAAGCTACCTGAATCGTGCATGGAACGCTCGGAGCAGAAAATCCCAAAAACAAGGCCTACGCATCCATCCAGGCCCCATGGCGTCTGCTACATTGAAAAGCACGGGGAAATTTGATTGACAAGACAGACAAGAGGCCACTTCCAACTACCTTCAAATCACCAGATAACTCACTTTGTTGTTTACATGCTGCCTTGGGACGGTGATTTCTCGGTAAAGACCTGGACATGCAATCAGCTCTTGGAGGTCCTAGGGATAAATTAAGTTGAATCAAACCACCAAAACTCACTTCCAAAGATTCCGAATCCGACATCACTCAAAACAGATGGAACACTGGGTGCAGTACGGGGAAAGCGTGGGAACCCGTTTCCAGAGCCAGCAAATGACCCGAGAGGAACGGGTATCCAGAGGCGTACGTCTCTCTGATTGGTCGAGATGTGAATACTGTTACAATATGCTATTCAGCAGTTAGTCCAAGGATGTACAACAGTTACGAGGTTCACAAATGATTCAGGGGTGGTTCTCGAACTAGAATAAAGCCCTTGGCACATATTTCTGGGACATTCTCGATCCCCGAACCAAAGGCTTAGCGGTTTCGGTTAACTAACCACTGCTGACGGGACCGGGTGGAAATGGTTGAGCAGTTCGTCACACAAAGGCTACCGAGACGGGGCTACATGTCATCTATTCTCTTTTAGCACAGAAATCCCCGAGGATGCGATGCAAACTGAACTTTGTGTGAAAGTGTACCTTAGTTCTGGTGCCAAACACCGGGGTGGGCGCAATCATCGTTTCGGCCTATAAAAGCTCGAAGTATCTTGGAAACCTGGAGGCCAAACATCTTTCGGACCTGGCTCCACACAGACCGTCTGGTTCTAGATTATTAGAACTCCCCTGGATTGAATAATAGTCAGACCACACATCGTTATCCGGGAGCTCGTTTGCTTGTGGGCTTGTGGAAAAACCAGTATGGTCTGGCCCCTCCCAGGGTATCGGGAAGCCAAAAAGGAATCGGTCACGATCTGTGTCTTTAACCTAGTGCTCTTAGGCACAAAGGGTGAGATCTTATTTAATCCATCGGCGGTTGGTGAAGGAAAGTTTGCGTTCTATAGTTGGTTCCAGCTGGTGGAAGCCCATCAAGTTTGCCGGGATCTAGAACCATGCAGGAGTATCTGGCTTGTGAAGCTACAGAGGCTTAAACGAGCAGCACGTGAGCTGGCAGACTCCGTCCAGCTAAGACCTTGGTTCGGCTAATCGTAAAAAATTACGGTATCGCAATGGCCAAATGTGTGTAGCAACTTGAAGTTTACTCGTCATCTTCGGGCAGTATGTCTCTTTTTTGCCCTCCCTCAATCTGTTTCAACCCGCCACCTTCAAATCTTGAAGATATTATCTTCTGGCAGCTTGATAAGTTCCCCAAAAGATAAGATAAGCTCCTGGTAATTGTGTTTCCGTTACCATGACGGTTTAGGCGTGACCGAGCCTATTACCCTCTGTTTACGACTGTCTTTCTCTCGCGCAATCCGCAGTACACGCCAATCCTACAGTGGTGCTTTATTCTGACTGCAATCTTGTGATCATGCCTGACGGTATGTCATCCATTAGTTGTGAATAAACAGTATTATTATTATAATCTCCATATTGAAAACGCTCCCGTACTAGTGGCACGCTAGGAAAACGCAAATTGCTTGGGTGGATCAAAGATTCCACTGCAAGCAGGCTTACGAACACCACAAGTAAATCCGTTCTGCTGGAATCGCAATCTTGTGACATGCCTGACGGTATGCCATCCATTAGTTGTGAATAAACAGTATTATTATTATAATCTCCATATTGAAAACGCTCCCGTACTAGTGGCACGCTAGGAAAACGCAAATTGCTTGGGTGGATCAAAGATTCCACTGCAAGCAGGCTTACGAACACCACAAGTAAATCCGTTCTGCTGGAATCGCAGAAAGACGATGTTTTGGTTTCTGTTTCATTAACCGCCAAGGAATTGTTTGCTTCTTTGAAAACCAAATCAAACAGGGAGATGGATATCCATTGTTGGAAGCCACGTTTAAAACTTCTCTGACGAAGCAGCCAAGGGGTCTGGGATACACTGCTGTGAACGCTGGTCAGTGTTCACCAAAGATAATCAGGCGGAGAACATTTGCGGCGTCTTGAAACGTTTTTGAACCTGGTTGAAGCCGTGGAAAGGTTCATTCTGTACTAAATTGACCAGGCTGCACAAGCCCGGACGACATCAGTCTGGGCTTCGTTTTGGTGCCATACGGTGATGCTATCTAAATAGCTTTTCATGATCTTCAGAAAATCCTTCGACAAAAGCCGATTATTGAACAAATGGATGGCGGTAATAGCGAATCCAAAGAATAACCGAGGCTCTTGGTAGGGCACACCAATTTAATTATCTGAGAGTCATGTGTTTGCAGTCTGCAAAGTGATGAGATGGCTGATCGTGCAGAAAAACAAGTGACACTTTCAAGAACTCCCGAACGATTGGGTAAAAGCACGGGTTCCAGAAGTGTGGAACTTTCCAACCTCCCGTTGATCAAGACGGGATGAACCAAGTGCGGTGATTGTCTAGGAGGTGATAAAATCCACATGGCCTCCTCCCACTACAGCCTCCACGTTGGGGCCAGACGAGGTCCATCGAAAGATCCTGAAGGAAACGTCATCTACATTGGCAAATCAATTCTGCCTGGTGTTTCGTCAGTCACTTGACGAAGGACGCCTTCCCTCTGCTTCGAAGGGAGCGATTGTCACGCCAATCTACAAACCTGGTGACCGGCCACCGCATGACAGCTACAAGTCTATAAGCCTCACTAGCGTGCGTTGCAAAGTGATGGAACGCATTCTGAAGCGAGCCATCCAAGAGCACCTTACTTCCAGAGACCTGATATATCCAGCTCAACATTGATTTTTCCCAAGCCGTTCTTGTGCGACAAATATGCACGTATTTATGGACAGCTTAACCCAGGCCTAGGACGAAGGACTCATATCGGATGCCATATTTTTCGACTTCTCAAAAGCATTTGATAGGGACCCACACGCTCAGCTGCTCCACAAACTCGAGTCTTACGGGATTCAAGAGAAAATCCTTCACTGGATGAAGGCGTCCCTATCAGACGGATCAATCCGAGTGAGAATAGGCTCGACCTACTCTTCTCCAGCGCAGGCCTCCATTAAAGTTCCTCAAAGCTTCGTCCTGGGACCAGTGCCGTTTCTGATCTACGTCAACGACCTCCCAGATGTTCTTGGAAGTTCATGTTTACTTTATGCGGACGACAATTCGAAATTCTGGAGTTCCAACGCCAGTGCCCTCCAAATGGATGTAGACGCTGCGAAGCAGTGGTCTTTCGATTGACACCTTCCTTCAAATGAGGAAAAGCGTGTACATATGTCATTTGGAGGAGACTCATCGAGTGTGGCTGTCATGCTTGGTGAGCAATACCAGAAAAAAGCACGGGGATAGACGCAAAAAAGGATGTGGTTATTTGGGTCTCCTTAAACTCTTCTTTTCACTGCACCGTGACGAATCGGCCCAAAAGGCATTCGGCATTTCATGGATGGTCCAAAGCACCTTCTCCCGTATTACTCGCATGGTGTTCCAAATACTCTACGGGGCCTAAGTCAGACCACTCCTGGAATACGCAAACCAAGTTGTCTACTCAGGAGGCACGAAAGTCTTCACCCTCATTGAGTGTGTCGAGCAAACCGCTACGAAAATGGTTGCCGGCCTCGAATCCGTAGACTGCGAAACGCGTCTCGCGATGCTTGTTCTCTTTCCCCTGGAGCACCGCCGCCCTCAAAGGGACCTAATTCTCACTTATGCCATGTTTGAACAAAGCTTATCCAACAGGTTTTTCATCGTTTACCCAGCAAACGCACGGCGGGAAAATGGTGAGTAAGTTATCAAGCTCAGTGCACACGCAATGTTTGGGCAAAATTTTTCTCATTTCGAGTATTACGTGCGTGGAACGACCTTCCTCCGACGGTTGTCCATGCTCCTTCTAGAACCCAGTTCAAAGCACTATAAGAAAATTGTTTATGCGAATCCTCGTGCTGGCAAGCATACTCTCCCGTGCTGAGAACATAAAATGCACTGCTACACACTTTTTTACTTGTGCCCTTCAGGTTAACGACAGCCGCCGGACGACGAGAACAAAACCGACCCGGTAAACTTGGGCAAAAGCATTGACCCTGTGTATCAGTCCGTGAATCACTGACCAACTGGATGGCCCATCCATAGCTGTTAGATTTCAAATTTGTTACGTCTCAGCTGACAGTCAGATGAGTAGTGAGTCGTAGCCGTGCCTTACATTTTTGTGATGCCAAATAAATGGATTGTAAATGGGGAGATTGAAGGAAACAGGCAACCAGAATGATATTTACCGGCACAGTTAAACGGGCTGCTTCTAAATGATTAGACTTAATGTAGACCCAGTCTCTATCCTCAACTCACGTCAGCTGGTCAGAAGCAGAGCCACAACTTGGACGACAAGCAGGCGCCACTGCTTTACAAGCATTCATCCGCTCAATAGATAGACACGCAAAGATCCTCTAACGGCGACAAAAGCTGGTAGCTAATGCTAATCTTTATTCACTTGAAACACTGCAACACAGTGCTGTTCATGAAGAATTACGTGACGTGCCCCGGGTTTCTTCCTGTACGGGGCGTGCAACTCTGAGCGACAGTCGCGTTAAAAACGAGGTGTGTGATTGAAGTGGTTGATGTTGCCAGGTGTGACGTCTGCCGTTTAAAACATCCCAAGGTATCCGGGGTGATTTTGTCGCCGAACTCGACAGTGCTGATGTGAGGTGCGCTGGTCTCTGTAAACCTAATGCGCAGCATTTGTATAAACGGTTCCAACAAGCCGCGCGTTCCGGTTTGCCCCTGTATCAAATAATCAAAGCTTCATTTTCGTGCCGCCTTGATACTGTGATGTCCTAGCACATGAGCTTGGGGAAACGCAAGGCAAAATCATGGCGGAAAAAGGCCACCTCTAATGCTTTGTGTATCGTCGAAGCTGAGACGGTACAGCGGCACCATTGTACTGAAAATTGGTACAAGGCCGAAAGCAGGGTTATTAATTTCATAAATATTTAAGTTATACCAGGTGCTGTAAGTTCTGCACCCAGGAATTAAAACCTAATGTCGCAGGAAGTGCGTGATATTTTGCAGGAGATGACAGGTGGAAGACCCTGTTAGTTCAGACGTGCAGCCCAAAAGAGAAGGATACAACAGGATCAGCCCGACGAATTAGGCATGCTGACCAATACATAATGACTTACGGAACCATGTTTTCTAACTGCGAAGAGTGAAAATTCATCGGTCTTTCCTAAGCACTCTCGGAGCAAGGACACTCGCTGGACACAATCGTTGGGCTTTAGGGGAAAATGTCTTCATCTGTTGTCCTTAGGCTTCGAACAATAAACAAACGATAGAAGCAATCCGGCATAAAATTCCACAGGGCTACGCGTGAGAAAGCAACGATGACTCGTGGTGGTCTCTAAGGTCCCAAAGTGGTCAAGGTGCTCCAAGCCAACTTGAAGCACGTGTATGGCTTAACGCTTAGTCACAGAACCGCGCAGAGACAAGTAAGCAGACCCATGTGATCATTGAAATCGGGGATAAATTGAAAGTCGGTGTTGATGGTAATCCCGAAGACTATCTGCATGTCGATGTGACAAGGGAAATCTGGCTGCAGCACAACCGCAAAGACAAGGAGGACCAACTGTGGTGTCACGGCATCAACTGTTTTTCGGCATAATACGACGGAAACTTATAAGCGATAAACCATGCAGTGAAAAAGATTGAAATTTCCTTTGAACATGACAGTCTGTACTTCAAATGATATTACGTAATTAGCATTCTCGAAAGTGAAGTGCTTCATGGGGGTCACACTTAGGTTGCTCAAAATTGCATGCAGTTGGTGCTCACAAATGAAACAAAAAATCCCAAACTATTTGTGCGCCTGTCGGCATCCTTGAGTGCCAGTGGGTATACCGTGATAGCCACCGAGAACCATGTAAGCAGTACAGATGCCAAATATTATCATCGAATGCCAAGGGGTGAATTAGTCTTAAGGTAGCGCAGATTCATATAATCATGACGGATGCCATGTGCGAAAACTTCTCCAAGACGCTTAATCGACACACACACGTCCCACGAACGGGTGTCTTACGAAATTCACGGAATCACGGATTGATACACAGGATCGAGGCTTTTGCCCAAGTTTCTCGGGTCGGTTTTGTTCTTGTCGGTCAGTGGCTGTCGTTCACCTGGAAGGCACAAGTGAAAAAAGGGTGTAGCACTGCTCTTTATGTTCAAGAGAAATTCAAGAGAAATACCGAACCGATTGAAGCGTTTATATTGAACAGCACATTGCAATGAAATATAGGCTCGACTTCACGTACAAAAAGACCGCTCAGCATTCGAAATCCCCCAGGAAGCGATTAAGGCCACGGCTGTTTCTAATATTCTCCAGTGATTATCCAGATATTCACTTAAGTGGATGTTAAATTTCTGCGGTGACTGGAAATACTGATATTCACTTGGATGTTAAATTTCTGCGGTGACTGGAAATACTGGGGATCGAATATCACGTCAAAATGAACGAAGACGCCCAAAAGAACGAACAGTTGGATTGGAACAATCCCATTAGATCGGAAACCCGATACGGGACTTTGAGTGACGCGTAGGTCCAACAATCCCGAATATCAAAAGGAAGAATCGGGTTCGTAATTCTACGGTACTATTTACACAAAGGGTAAGCGGATGTGTACAACAAACCTCAATTGTTCACGTTCGTAGCGTCAACAAGTTCACAGGTTTGTCACTGACCGGCCCAGTGCAGTGTCAACATCCGCACACCAAACAACTGCGAGCGGAATGACGGCTCAGTAGCGTGGGTTGAAGTCGCTCGTTCCGACGACGGTCTCGTGATTCCCATTGGACGTGCGATCACGCGGAGCCCATGAGAAAACAAGTCAAGGCAGGTCCAGCAAACGGGACATGAACGCACATGGGTAAGTAGGTCAGCAGCGCACATTCACACCACAGGTGGTTAGTGGAGCGCACCCCAAAAACACCCCGCAATGCGAATGAGCGCCGTCGTCATCTGATGAATGGGTGTCGACCATTGATATTGGAGCGCACCCCAAAGAACCGCAGACTGACCGATGATTGTCCTCTTGTGAGGCGACTTCTTCATCCTCAGTTACCCGAGCGCACTCCGTGTAACGGTAGTCTGGTCGGTTGTCATCCTCTTCTGAGGTAATGGAAACAGCCAATGCACCATCCATCCAAGGGTAAAGAGACACAACGAACTTCCATTTATCCTCACGTCTCTGTCTAGTTGATTGCCATTTCCAATGCCAGTCCCCGTCCTCCTCGTCCAATTCAGCAAAGCTCTCCCGTAATTCGGCAAGCACAGCCGAAGTCTTTGGATCATATTGGCGGGAAAAGCCAAGAGCCAGGAAGGAATCATGCCGGAACGGGTCCATGGTAAAACTGCAACTGTGACTCGGTGTCAAATAGATCGGGATGTCAATCCAATCTGACGAACACAATGGAGTACTGCTAAGGATCCCGATACGGAACTTTGAGTGACGCGTAGGTCCAACAATCCCGAATATCAAAAGGAAGAATCGGGTTCGTAATTCTACGGTACTATTTACACAAAGGGTAAGCGGATGTGTACAACAAACCTCAATTGTTCACGTTCGTAGCGTCAACAAGTTCACAGGTTTGTCACTGACCGGCCCAGTGCAGTGTCAACATCCGCACACCAAACAACTGCGAGCGGAATGACGGCTCAGTAGCGTGGGTTGAAGTCGCTCGTTCCGACGACGGTCTCGTGATTCCCATTGGACGTGCGATCACGCGGAGCCCATGAGAAAACAAGTCAAGGCAGGTCCAGCAAACGGGACATGAACGCACATGGGTAAGTAGGTCAGCAGCGCACATTCACACGCACAGACACACATGTCAATACACAAGTGTCGGAAAGGACGTCCTCTGCGGCAATGTGAGTGCCGGGTACGAATGAGCAAAACAACTGGAGGTCAAAAGTACATAGACGGAGTAAGCAAATGAATGGGGGAATCATCATAACGTCAAGTTATATTGAAGGCCCCGAATGATTGAAATTACGCCGACTTTTCTTTTAGAGGGAACTTATTGATTTTCTTTTTCTCTCAGTGAAAATTTTTAGGAAGATTTTGCTGGACTGGAAGCGAAAACGTATTTTGTTATGATGCACTCTTCAGTGGTGGCTTTCTCGCCGCGCAGAGAAATGGCCCGAAATGCATCCTCCGTTCCACCGATGATTCGCCTGACCTTCCCTAATATATTTCGAATGGACTCCTAGATAACCAACGTGTTCTGCCTCAGACAGCCTCTTGAATATGCTCCTAGTTCTGTCTACTCAAGACGCAAGAAGGAGGGAGCCCTCGTTGCGTGTGTCCGACGAGTCACTACAAAATCTTTCGCCGACCTTAAATCCGTGGACCATGAAACTCGTCTCGCGGTTTTGACCTGTTTCCCCTGGGGTATCGTCGCCCCCGAGGAGAACTAGTACTCACTAATAACCCAATTTAACGAGGTAACGCCGACAGGATTTTCGGCGTTGACCCAGCTATCACACTGCGAGGAGATGATCAGAAGGTTTTGATGCTCAGAATGCACTCTTTCAACAGGGGAAAATTTTCTCATTCCAGGCCGTTGGTGCGCGCAATAAGGTCCTTCCGACGGTTGCATGAACTCCATCCAGTTGCTAGCTCAAAGAACTTTAAAATACCTTTTTTGGATGCGTCCCCGTGCCAGCAAGCCTACTGCTCCACACCAAGAGCAGTCTTACACCCTTTTTCACTTGTGTCACTCAGGTGAACGGTACTCGCTGAGTGAAAGGAACAAAACTGACATCGAAAAAATGGGCGGAAGTTTTGATTCTGGTATTAATCTGCGATCGCAAGCGCACTCAGGCGTTCTACCAGGGTAATCTTAAAAATTAAAAAAATATGACCACAAAATGTCAGAAATAGAACATAAGATCACCTAGCATTTGCTAACACCACATGAACTTGGCCTCAAGATCAGAAGGTAGAATGGTCCCTATGTAAGTCATACTTTTCATGCAAATGCCAGTGCCATAAAAATGGATGCAGACGCAAGGCAGTGGTCGTTTGACTGGCAATTTCCTCTGAATGGATAAAATTGCTTCCATATGTCATTTGGAAGGGACGAAACAAACGAATTCGTCATTCATGGAGAGGGAGGACTAGACTACATTTCTAGGATAGACGCCAAAAAAGATTTGGGCATCCGGCTCTCTTCTAATATATACTTCTCACTACACCATCAGAAATCGCCAAAAAGGCATTCGTCGTTTTACGGATGATTCAGCTCACCTTCTCCAGTATTACTCTCCTGAATTCCCAAATACTCTCTGAAGCCTACGTCAGACCGCTCCTTGAAAGCGCTAACCAAGTTGCTTACTCAGGACGCTGGAAGCACTTCACCCACATTGTGCGTGCCAGCGAACCGCTAGAAAAATGGTTGACGAACTCAAATCCGTGGACTAAGAAAAGCCTTTCGCGGTGCTTGACCCTTTCCCCTTGGAGTATCTCGTTATCCGAGGGGACTTAGATCTTACATATGCTCTGCCTTTTCAAAGCTTGACCAACAGGATTTTCACCGTTGGTCCAACAAACACGTGGTGGGGGCATAGTAAGAAGATTTTCAAGCTCAGAACGCGCACATTCGTTGTGCAAATTTCTTCTCATTTCGAATAGTAGCTGCGTGCGCTTTTCCTAGTGCTTTAAAGCACTATTAGACACTTATTTATGCGAGTCCCTGCGCTAGCAAATATACTGACCCCCCTTAGAATATAAAGATCAGTGTTAAACCCTTTTTTCACTTGTGCCCTTCATGTCAATGACAGCCGCTGAATGATCAAAACAAAACTGACCTGAAAAACTTGGGCGAAATACCCTCTCCTGTGTATCAATCCATGAATCTCTGAATCCAAAAGAGGCGGAAACCATGATGGATCAACATCGATGTCTTCTGCGAGCGCAGCATCCCGTATTTCAAGGAGCACGGTTTTTGTTATAAGCGAAATCGATGCAATACAACTGCGTTTATGTGGTGCCCAAAGTTCGCACCAGAATGCTCTAACAGACGCAAGAATCTCTGCGAAGAGAGGCTCGATTCTGATTGGATCTCCCGGCGACCAATCGAGTGGTAGATTCTTCTGGTCTGTCGGCAGTTTGCCGTAGACGCGTGCAAGGGTTCTCTGATTAAGTTTTGCCTCCGGGTGGTGTTGGCAGACGATAGTTCGGATAAGTTCTGACTCTCCGTCCCGACTTTGGGTAGCGGAAATGTTGGTCTGAGATTTGTGTGCGGTGCAAAAAATTCTGAGGCGGACAGTTCTAGGAAACAAGTTGGAAAAGAGGCAGGCAACCAACTAAATGCTGACAGCAATCAACCGGCCCTTTAGTCTATGCTCTGTGTCCGCAACGTGCATGGTCATGATGCAGAACAGAGTAGTTTAACGTGCCTCTGAGACTTCAAGGAGTGATACTGGAAATTGTGGAGTGCTCTAGGCATCTAGGACGTTCCGCCAGATTTGCCTGTAGTGTGTTGGATGGGGTTAACGTATGAATCTTGAACCGATGTATTGCTTTTGTAAATTTTCGCCACTTGTGGCATCAAAAAGGCATCCCACAGGGTCTCAACGAATATCCCTATTACCACAACTCCTCAATTTTTCATTTCTGTGACCTATGAGGAGTTCATGAAAGGCTTCATAAGATTTTAATAGCAAATATAACTTTGGTTTATGTACACTGCAACAGCGTTTTTTACCGTTTGTCCCAGTTGAACTCTGTCTTTGCCTAAAGTGTAACACTTAAAAATATAATCCCTGGTGACTTACTCAGTTGATGCGTGTATGCAATGCGAGTGTTGTTGACACAAATCAGTGATACCTAATGCGCCATCCAGTGATTATGTGTAACTGTACAGTCGCAAATGAGGTATTTATCGTGCAGGTCCAACTTGTATGGGACGATCCAACAAGAGAATGTTCACGAGGTTGTGGTAATAGCATCAGCTGGTCTCAACTGATGTGCATATCAGATTACACTGTTACATGACTGTTGGGTTTGTCCGATTCGGGCGAAGGATTGGAGACACCTTGAAGTCTTTGACCACCGATGTCGCAATCATCGACAACTTCACATCAGTGTTCAACACCGATGCTTCACTGCCGTAATGTCGCAATACTATTGCTAGATTCGACTGAAACTAACTTATTCGCAATATTTTGGTTAGGAAACATGCTTTTGGTGAAACAGAAGCTACATTATTTGAAGGAAGCACCCAGCACTGTAAGCTTAGTTGGTTGAGCCTATGTCATACGTGCCGAGTCACCGTCTGTGGAGAAGAGCGTTGTTTTCCGTAGTGATTGAGTAACGTACAACAGTGAAGCGTCAGTGCCGACACTGACGTTACTGTCTTTGGTGATGATCATGATCCAGCTGCAGTACCCTTTGTGTGCCTAGCTGCCACGCCACCTGAAAGGACACGGGGGATGGGATACTGCCAGGTTGCCCAAGCCCAGACAAGAGAAGTCGAGATGCCTGATTCGGTGTAACGGGGACCTGGGGGTCGTCAGGAATGGGCATGGTAGAAGGCAATCAGGGGTGTTTCGGAGCGTTTGGGTGTTGCCTGTTCTGTTAGTTTTCATGGATGGGGTGCACGTGATCGTCTTGAATAGGGATACTGAACGATATTGCTTCTGACCGATATCACTGGTGTTCGTGCCGTCAGTCTATCTAGAGTCTGAGATTGAGTGCTGGATTTGGTTGCACTCTGGATGTTAGTTGTAGGATAGCCCTAGGTCTCACTCTGCGCCCCACTTTTATTCACAGTAAGGCTTTCAAATCAATCATCGTTGTACGGCTTCAAGGGCTAATGATACTACTCGGTTGCTCAGGCTGAAGAAGGGGGGTTGTTTGAGGTTCCACACTTTGAAAATTTGACTTAGATGTCTAGCACAATGCAACGTTTTGTTGGTCAGTTTTGTCCGACTGCTGGAGACCGTCCCAATACGACGGTGCAGGGAGAAATGCCTAGGTGTTCTACTTATAATGATACTGCATCTAGTCCCGACCTAAAGCTGCCACCTTGACGTGGTGTTCGGGCTTGAGTGTGCACTGATCCCGCAGGCTATACTGGCTGGAACTCGGTTCCTAAAGAGCAACCATGCCAGGAAGGCCAATGGGGAGCAGCTCGACGAAAAACAACGAGTCCTCGTACTCTGAGTAGTCGTATTACGAGGCGGTCTGGAGGTAAAGTCGTACTGTCCTCTGCGATAGGAGGCGTTTCCACCAGACGACCAGCATGTCCATATGGAAGCAGCGATGCTGCCTTCCCCCGAGGAAGTACGTGTTGGAAAAGATCGACCCTACAAAACCGTACACTCCAATCGCTCAGCGGT